GAGAATTGAAACCATCTACATCCACACAGATTGCTGTCAACATTAACATAATTTTACTGTTTCATTGTCATCTTCAACATAACTACTATCCCAGGAACATTTTGACCAGGAAGAGAAAAATTGCAAGTAGTTTTTTTTTTTTTTTTTTAGGAAGATCAGCCCTGAACTAACATCCATGCCAATCCTCCTCTTTTTTTGCTGAGGAAGATTGGCCCTGGGCTAACATCCGTGCCCATCTTCCTGCACTTTATATGGGACACCGCCACAGCATGGCCTGACAAGCAGTGCCTTGGTGCGCGCCCGGGATCCGAACCTGGGCCGCCAGCAGCAGAGCGCACACACTTAACCACTACACCACAGGGCAGGCCCCGCAAGTAGTTTTATTCTTCGTTACAGGAACTTTTAAAATCCCATTTAAATAAACATCAAACTGCTCAACTTTTCAATAGATGACTTTAAATGACTGCTTATACTGTGTGGTGGGCAGAACAATGGCCCCCAAAAATGTCCATCTACTAATCCCTGGAACCTTTGAATATGCTGTTACGTAGCAAAGGGGAATTAAGGTGGCAGATGGAGTTAAGGTTGCTAATTCACTTGACTTTAAAATAGGGAGATTATCCTGGATTATCTGAGTTGGTCCACAGTAATCACAAGGGTCCTCAAAAGTAGAAGGGGGAGGCAGAATAGAAGGTTAGAGTGATATGATTTAAGAAGGACTCAACCAGCCATTGCTGACTTGGAGGATGGAGGAAAGGGGCACAATCCAAGGAATGTGGGCAGCCTCTAGAAGCTGGAAAAGGCAAGGAAATGTATTCTCCCCTAGAGCCTTCAGAAAGGAGCAGTATTGTCAACACCTTGCTCTTAACCCAGGGAGACCTGTGTCAGACTTCAGACATAAAATTGTAAGATGATAAATTTCTATTGTTTCAAGCCTCCAAGTTTGTGGTAATGATACAGCAGCAATAAAAACTAATACACTCTCCAAGACTCTTTAAAACCTTTACCTTGTTGTGTCCACTAATCCTATTATATCATGATTCTTACCCAATCCTAATCAGGCCCCTTGAATTGAAAAGCCCTCTTAAACCAGACCCTAAAACCTTATAAATATCCCAACTTCCCCCTTGGAATTGCTACTGAGAATGCCTAGATACCGGTCTCTCTTATCAGTAAGTAATAAACTCAGCTTTGCCTTATTAACACACTGTTTTGATGGTATTTTTTGTTTTGGTGGTGTTTTTTGAAAAATTATTTTAAAGATTGAATGAAACCCTGTACATGGATGTTTATAACAGCTTTATTCCTAATCACTGAAAACTGGAAACAACCCAAATGTCCTTCAACTGGCGAATCGCTAAACAAGCTGTTATATCCATATAAGAGAACACTACTTAGCAATAAAAAGGAATCAAGTTACTGCTACATGCAACAACAATGGATGAATCTCAAAGGCATTCTGCTAAGTGAAAAAAGCTGGACTCAAAAGGCTACATACCGAATGATTTCATTTATGTGATATTCTGGAAAAGATAAAAGTATAGGGACAGAGAGTACATCAGTGGTTGCCAGGAACTGGGCTTGAGGAGAGGGGTTCACTACAAAGGGGCACGAGGAAATGTTTCGGGGTAATGGAAACATTCTATATCTTGATTGTGGTGGTGATTACACAACTTTGTGCATTTGTCAGAACTCACAGAACTGTACATTAAAAAGGATGAATTTTACTCTACGTAAATTATACCTCCAAAAATCTGACTTAAAAAAACCCCCAGAACGCTACTAAGAATTTCTGCTCTAACAACATATATTGAATACTTTGTCAAAATCTTTCATGTTAATAAAACAATTATATTTTCTTTGAGATTGTTTTCCCTTATAGTTTTATGGTTGGTATTTTCTGCTATTTCTCCATTCTGTGCAGTTGACTTACATTGTTCTGGAACATAAAATTAGAGACAGAAAATTCACTTTGTTAAAACAGATGCATCTGATTAAAATAAATGATAGAGTATTAAAATGTTACCAACTCAGAAATAATTTTAGGATTTTTTTCCCTCATTGCTGAAAGGGAAGGAAATTCTTATTTGCAGAATAATGCCAAAGAAATGTCTACATTTTCCATGTCCCATCTCCCCTTTTTGGTTTTTAAGTAAGGTCTCATTTCATATTGAAAAATTACAGCCGGCCCCGTGGCTTAGCGGTTAAGTGCGCGCACTCCGCTGATGGCGGCCCAGGTTCGGATCCCCGGTGCGCACCGACGCACCGCTTCTCCGGCCATGCTGAGGCCGCGTCCCACATACAGCAACTAGAAGTATGTGAAACTATGATGTACAACTACCTACTGGGGCTTTGGGGGAAAATAAATAAAAATTATAAAAGAAAAATTATCATGACTTTTTTATGGAACAAAAAACATATTATCATTCAGTTAGCCAAATAACATTTATTCTAAAGGAGCTTTCTTGTAAAGTTTATTAAATGTCTTTAATTTGCATTTTAATATTTCTTTAATTATTGTGTAAAATGACAAATAATCTTTCTTGATGCCACTATACATCACCACTCCCTCCCAATATTGTAAATCTTCCTAGGCAGAATTTGAAAGAAAGCACAACTTCTATGTAAAACAATTTGGCAATATCTATCAAAATTTAAAATACTTTGATCTCAAGATTCCAGTCTAAGAATTTATTGGTAAAGTTGCCCACTGTATGGGGTTATTAGTTGCAGCTTAGTTTGTAATAGTAATGGTTTGGCAACAACCTAAATGTTCACCTATAGGGGACTGGTTAAATAAATTATGATATTTGCATACAGTGGAATATTATACTGCCCCTAGGAAGAAAGAGGCATTTCTTTATGTAGTGATGTGGAAGGATATCCAGGATATTTTCAATGAGAAAAGTAAAGAACTTAACAGTGTATATAGTGTGTTATCTTTTGTGTAAAAAGAAGTATAACTATATTTCAATGTATATTTATAACATATCTTGGGAAGGATACATTAGAAAATGCTAAGTGATTCCCTCTAGGACTGGAGTAGTTGAAGGGCAGTGATGGGAGTGGCAATTATTTTTCACTCTATTTTTTCATAATTCATTTTGAGTTTTGCATTAATACATTTCCTAATTTATATAGACATACAGATAAAACATATATATATATATATATATATATATATATATATATATATATATATATATATATAGGGGCCAGACTGTGGTGTAGTGGTTTAAGTTCAGTGTGCTCCACTTCAGAGGCCTAGGTTTGAGGGTTCAGATCCCTGGGCTGGACCTACACCACTTGTTAGCCATGCTGTGGCAGGGACCCACATACAAAGTAGAGGAGGATTGGCACAGATGTTACCTCAGGGCAAATCTTCCTCAGCAACAACAAAAAAAAACAACAAAAACTCTATATATAGATAAAAATTTTTGAGTGAGGCTTAGAAGAAATAATAGGTCAGTTAAGAATTTTATTTTTTATTTTATTTTTTTCTCCCCAAAGCCCCAATAGATAGTTGCACGTCATAGTTGCACATCCTTCTGGTTGCTGTATGTGGGACGCCCCACAGCATGGCTAGACAAGCGGTGCTTTGGTGCGCGCCTGGGATCCCAACCCGGCTGCCAGTAGTAGAGCTGCCAGTAGTAGAGCTGCCAGTAGTGGAGCGCACACGCAACCACTAAGCCACGGGGCCGGCCCCCCAGTTAAGAACTTTAAAAAGGAAAAATATTATACTTCTATTGGTCCTAGGGAATTACCAACTTTTAGGGTTGATAAAAACATTTTCATATATGCATTCCTTATAATAATAGTGTATATAAAGCTCCTCAAAACTCTCAAATTTTATTAAAACAATCTTCAGGGGCTGGCCTGGTGGCGCAAGCGGTTTAGTGCGCATGCTCTGCTGCAGCGGCCAGCCAGGGGTTCCTGGGTTTGGATCCCAGGGCGCACCAACGCACGGCTTGTCAGGCCATGCTGTGGCCCATGTCCCATATAAAGTGGAGGAAGATGGGCATGAATGTTAGCCCAGGGCCAGTCTTCCTCAGCAAAAAGAAGAGGATTGGCAGATGTTAGCTCAGGGCCCATCTTCCTCAAAAAAAAAAAAATCTTCAAAATGTTTTCTTCAAAACTAGCAGAAAGCAAAAAAACAGCTTCATGAGGCTCCTTCATAGAAAGAAAACAGATAAGAGGCAGGAAATTATAGCATTTTTCAAATGATGAACCATAGGTAGTTTCTCTGGACAGTTACCGTAATGGGGTCTATGGGATCCTTTGAAAATCCGGTCTAGTCTACAGCTATTATTTTACTCTCAATTAAATTATAGCTTGCCCTGACTGGCAGGATGTTAACAGGTGAAGGAAAATGTTCAAAATGATATCCTGAAAAAAATATTAATGGCAGAAAATATTTAGATGACGAAGAGCTGGCTTGGCTTCAGGGGGGAAGTTCAAGCGAGGTTCTGAGCATCCTCCTACCGAAATTCCTCACAGACTTCCTTTTCGGCCAGACCTGTTGAGGGCCGCTGGACTCGGGGCCTGAATGTCAGCCCCGGGAGGCAAGTCCAGGGGACTTCGACTCCGGCCAGAGCCCCCAGGAGGGGCGGCCGGCCCGCTCCCCTCCACCTGAGCCGCAGAACCGGCAGATCCGGCTCAGCCCGGCCCCGCCCTCCCGAACCTCGCCAGCGGCTACGCGTAGGACGGTGTGCGCGCCGGGACGTGCAGGCCTGGTTCTGCCCCGCCGCCCCTGCCCGACGCGACCGCCACGCCCGGGAGCTGGGAGATCGGGCCTAGGCCACTGGGACCGGCGCTCGACACGCCGGGGGTCGTCAGACCCCACAACCGCGCGCGTCACCACCCCCGGGGCCGCCTCCCGGTCCCGCAGGCCCGCGGCCCCGCAGGCCGGCGCTCCTCTAGCGGGAGGGGCGCCGCGTCGCCACGTGACGCCTAGTCCCCGCCCGGCCCTGGTCACATGGGTGGCGCAGCCGCTGCGTCAGTCACAGTCCTGGCTGCGGGAGTCGAGCCGTCGCCGCCGCCGCCGCCGCCAGCGGACGGGGCGGGGATCCCGGTGCCAGGTCCTCGTCAGCCCGCCCCTGCCTGCTCGCTCGGTCGTCCGGGGCTGGGCCCCCCGTCATGGAGCGGGGCGGGACCTCGGCCGGTGTCGTGTGAGGTGCGTCGCCGCCGCCAGGCCGCCTGCGCTTTTTGAGCCTCTCGAACCCCCGCCGCCGCCCGGAGCCCCCCGCCCTTGGCAGCCTGTCGCCGCCCCCCGGCGGCTCGAATGCGCGTCGGGTGAAGGTGCAGGCCCGGCGCCGCCGCTGCCGCAGCCGGGAGATGGTTTGGGCCTAGCGGAGCCGGGACTGGAGGTGAGGAGGGCCGATGGACGGACGGACGGACGGACGGAGGGCCGGGCCGGGCCGGGCCGCGGCGGGGGGAGGGGTAGGGGGCGGGGCGGGGAGAACAGGGTCCGCCCGGGGGCTCGGGAGACCTTCCCGGCCGGGCTTCTCAACCGCTTCGCCCCTCATCTTCGCGCCCCCCCCAATAAATAAATAAATAAATAAGGCTAACCCAATTCTAACAAAAATTCCCAGAAATACATCTTTTCACCGTTTCTCCTTTCCCATTTCGTTCCTTAATCTAGTCCATCTCTCATAAAATCCCATCGACTGATTTGTTACTTTTAGTATCTTCTTCAATTTCAAGTTATTTCTAGGTAAAGAGAAAATGGGCCTAGATTCTGGGTATCATTACCCAACAAGTTCTCGCTTCTCGCGATCCTGCGCATGTTCCCCCCCCCCCCCAAAAAAAAAAAAAGGAAAAAAATTTCCGCCTTCGACTAGCAAAGGGGGTTGACTAAAAATGGGAATGTGGGGGTGTAATACTTGAATGCCCCCCCCCCAACTTCCGAATCGGTCTGTATCGGTCTGTTAGCTGCTTATCCCGATAGCTTGTATTTGGATATCGATGTTTAGGCCTTTCATCCAGCTGCTTGTGCCCGGGGTTAATCTCGTAATTGACGTCAGTGCTTTGTTCCTTCCACTTTGCTGTTCCTTCCACTCTTTGAGGATGGATCATGGGGTATAGGAGTTTGAGGAGTATCCTATTGCGTTTTCTTTCACAAACGATATCATTTATAGGAAGTTGAAAGTACAAATCTGAATGCTTGTGTGTGGAGTTCAAACTAAGACGAAGAGTTCGGTTTAGGGTTCTAGTAGTCAGTTGCAAGTCAGAATTGTGCAGTTTCTTTCCTGCTGGCCATATGGAGATTTTAAACTAAGGCCAGTCCCTTTTCCAGTGACCGGTACTTTTTTTGACGGGGTCTAAACTGTAGGTGCCTGTGAATAGGATGTTTGTAAATGTGACGTTTAAAATGTGTGTTGTTCTTTAGGGCTCAGATGTTACAAGCTCAAAGTTTGGTGTTTATATTGATTTTGCAAAGCTTCGTAAAGTGCTTCTTTTATTTAACTGTCCTTTAACTTATCAAAATTGAAATATTTATGAGAACTTTTTTAATTTGGTGTTTGATAAAGAACCTTTGTGGCCTGTGAATCTGCCTAGAATCATCTTTGGTCATATGTGCATAAAGAAGTGTTGGCAAGCGGCCACTTGGTTTTTAACAAAGCTGGCTTCTTTAAATTTCTCAGGTTTATTTTCGTTATTCATCACTGTGTCTTTCGGGTCTAAACATAAAAAAAACTCTCAAGAAGTTATTTTTAATTATCTTTTAGGGTTAATTTACCTGAAAGCAATCAATTTTTCTTTTAATTTTTTTTTGTGGGGAAGATCAGCCCTGTGCTAACATCTGCCAGTCCTCCTCTTTTTTTGCTGAGGAAGACTGGCCCTGGGCTAACATCCGTCCCCATCTTCCTCCACTTTATATGGGACGCTGCCACAGCATGGCTTGCCAAATGGAGCATCCGTGCGCGCCCCAGGTCTGAACCGGCGAACCCTGGGCAGCTGCAGCGGAGCACTCGCACTTTACCACTTGTGCCACCAGGCCAGCCCCGTCAATTTTTTTGTTTTAATACCAGCAGTTTTTAAAACCATCAGTTTGTGGTGGCTTGCAGGCTCATGAGTTTGGTTTTTGTTAGCTCTACAGGAACAGTAGGCAAATTTTACTTTAAATAAAATTGTGTATCAAGTGGGGACAAGATAGAATGGCTGTGAATGATCCAACCTTTACTGTTTGATTGAAAAAAAAAACGAGCTTAGCTGTGTTATTTGGAAAGTAGTCTACAATTTTGGGGTGTAAAGGTGATTGTACAGTGCTTTGGTGAAGCTGTGTAATTAAGAATTCTTAAAGATAGAATATTTCCATTCAGATCCACTTTGTACTTGTCCGGTGACATACATTCTCTTCTCTGTGCTCTTAAATTATTGTAATCCTTTCGTAACAGTTGATACATTCTGCTTTGTATTGTAATTTTCTTATAGGTCTGTTGTAGTGTCTTTAGAGCAAGAACTAGATTTATACCTCTCTGTATCCTCCCCAGTATTTTGTACAATTATTAGACTGAATTTGAATGTGGTATCCAACCTAAGATTTCACAAAAGCGTAATCTAAAGAAAGCTGTGTGAGCAAGTGATCAGTATTTGAAGGAGAAAAAGTGACTGTCAGCTACAGAAGATGACAGAAGATGAAGCCTTCTAAAAGTTATGTATCTTATGTTTTTTGAAGAGTTAGGGTAGATGTCATGGTTTTATATGTACCTCAGAGGAACAAAGAAAACAGGTATTTCTTCTTTTGTGGCCATCTACTGGAGTCCAAACGGAGTCCAGAATGGAGTCCAAAATGTATGAGGCCTTCTCTTTGTAGTATTTTTCATAAAATCAAAGAGGCGTTCTTAAGTATTGAAAACACACCTGGACAGTGACCCAGAAGTGCAGTGTGTATTATAAAAATTGATGACTCAGATTTTATTTTTTGTTTTAGCTCTATTCTACAGATATCTTACTATAAAAACTTTCTTATATGATGTAAAATTCTCAGCTTTGAACCCCCAATCCTCATTATGTTTTACCTATTTCCTTTTGTATTTCCTCTGATAACTTGGAACAATTATATTTGATTTCTGGGAGGGTTTTTGCCAGTCTCAGTTATTGTGAAATAAGGTGTAGTCAGTGACTAAAGACTGCTTAAAGCTAACCTAACCTGTTACCTTGCTTCTTTTTCCTTTGGTTTAAGAAAAGCACCCCTTCTTCTAGTAACTCCCTAAACTCACTCATTTTGGTTATTTGAAGTGATAACTCTAATACATGGAAGAGGTCAGTAATAAACATTCCAGTTATTGAGTTTTGGCTGATTATCTGCATTCTTCTTTGTCTTGATGTTCATTTTCACTGGCATCCTATCCTGAGAATTTTAATGGTATTGGCACATAGAAAATATTAGAATCACCGAATTCATTTCCAAAATATTCCAAAAACATTTTAATATTGGGACTACTTATTGATTCTATTTTTTTTTTTTTTTTTTTTGGTGAGGAAGATCAGCCCTGAGGTAACATCCATGCCAGTCCTCCTCTTTTTTTTTTGCTAAGGAAGACTGGCCCTGGGCTAACGTCCGTGCCCATCTTCCTCTACTTTATATGGGACGCCGCCACAGCATGGCCTGACAAGCGGTGCATCAGTGTGCGCCCAGGATCTGAACCCAGGCCGCCAGCAGCGGAGCGCATGCACTTAACCGCTACACCACGGGCCCTATTGATTCTATTTTTGAAGGAAAAAATCTTATTTAAAATTTATCTGCTTTGTCAGCTATACTTTATTAAAAAATCTGTAACCTGTGGAATGTTCTAAGGGAAGGCATTTCATGTGACTTTCTCTCTCTTTGAGTGTCTAATAAACTATAGTGGTGGCTTTTAGGTAGGTAGACAAAACTTATTAGTGGGTACTGTTTTAAACTAATTATATTGATCATCATTTCCCAGAATAGGTAAAAGTACCTCAAGCATTCTTTTCCCAAAGGTGTTGTGTGTGTGGGGGCAGAAATCAGGGACTGACATGAATCGATTGCCCTGGAAAGCCAGTATGGTTTGGCTGCCCAGGTGTTGTCATGAGCTGTCCTGAGACTGGGCTTCCTGGGGCTGTTTTGGACCTGAGTGGGTCTCCAATTATTTTGTCAATTTGGAGCTTCTTAGTGTGTTATGACTTTTCACTTTGACTTTTCTTTTTCATGTCATCATTAGGGTAGTGACAGTTTTATGGAGAGGTAAGTAGAAGCCAATAGTCTGCATAGATAGGCCTTCCTACCTCTTTGTACTTGCTTCCATTTCTTCCATCTGGAATTTCACTTTTCCTCTCTTGTTCCCTACTTGTTAAAATTTCATCATCTTTTAAGGCCCAGTGCAAGTACCATTGCCTTCCTCAAGTTTTGCTTGATTCCTCACCCTAGTCTGGTTGTGACCTACCTCCTTTGATTCCCTGCATCATTTTTTATGTCTCTTAATTATTTGTTATGAGACTGTAGGCTGCTGGGTGACATGGAGCACAAGTATCAGGGAAGACACACTAAAGACTATGTTACAGTTATGTGTCGCTTAACGATGGGGATCTCTTCTGAGAAATGTGTCATTAGACAATTTCGTTGTTCTGCGAACATCATAGAGTATATTTAGGCAAACCTAGATGGTATAGCCCACTACATACCTAGGCTCTGTGGTACGAATCTTATGAGACCCACTTTTGTATTGTGGTCTGTTGTTGACTGAAACGTTGTTATGTGGTGCATGACTATATACTGTTTCATTATACGTCTCTAAAAAGTAAGAATTAAGACAAAAATCCAACCTAAGACTTCACTAAAAAAATTAACACTAATTCCTTAATATCATCATATATCAAGTCTGTTCAAAAAACAGTAGTTTTTGTTTTGTTTTAACAGTTTGTTTGAATTTGGATCCAAATAAGGTACATACCTATGTATCTCACCACCCCTCCCCCCCTTTTTCCTCGACTTTTCCTCCTATCTTTTTGTTCTTGTTCCCATACAATTGGTTTATTAAAGAAACCAGGTCTTTGCCCTGTGAGATTTCTCACAGTCTGAATTGTGTTAAGTGCATCCTTTTGGTTTCATGTAATATGTTCCTCTGTTGCCTGTTTTTCCTGTAAATTAGTAGTTACATCTAGAAGCTTGATCCAGTCTAGGCTTGAATTTTTTTTTAACGCCAAGAATACTTCATAGGTAGTGTTGTCCCCGTCCTACTCACTCTTAAATCTTCAGCCTGGCTTCTCATGCTATCCTGCTGGTGAAATTGCTCTTAGCAAGGCCACCTGTGACTTTGATGTTGCCAAATTGTATAGTCATTGCTTAGTTCGTTAGTTCTTTCTATACTTGATATTGTTAACCATTTTCTCCTTGATGCTC